TACAAAGAAAGACAAAGCGGTCATATATCTTTGATCTTATGACGTCACCTTAATATGACATGATTTTCGAAATCTCCGTTGACTGTAATTGTTTGTTTAATGGTATGTTATAAAAAAATTTTTAAAAATTTTAGTTGTAATAACAAAATTTTCGTAAAGACATTCCTAAAAATTTTCGCATTTGATCCAAATATCACATCTGTAACGAACCACACATTGCAAGAAACGAGAAGTTTTTTTAAAATTTGAAAATATTATAAAAAGTTAAATAACTAGATTTTAAAGTTAGCCTCTCAGCTTCAAAATAGAATAATTACTTAGGTAACTCGTAAAGGTGGAGTTCCTTTTCTATTTGGTTTCTGCTGTTATAAAAGAATTAAAAAAAAAAAGTGAATGTGTTTAATTTGATCCTTTAATTGAATATTATTTTTTGCTTTTTAGGTTAGTTCACTTCGGTCTGAAGATTAAAAATGAACAAAATGAACAAAATCACTTATTTAACTGACGAAATATCCGATGCCGTCGAAAACCTGCATGAAAATAAAATTGAAATAAAACAAAAACAAAAAAAAGCTTTACTTACGTTATAATTTTAAACAATAGAAAGTGAAAAAAAAAAGAAAAACCTACAGCCCGAATGTGATCGTGATCAAAATCAAAAAAATATTTATAGAATATCATATGAAACCTTTGCAATAGAAAAGGCGGAAACGTTGATACCAATCTGAACATATGGGGGGGGGGGGGGCCAAAAGGGGGAAATCTATAAATTTAGTTGTTAAGCTAGTTTTGTTCACATGACCATGATCGGCAAAGTGAACCAATAAAAAAATTTTTAACTAAAAGTAGATTTTCCCCTTTTTCTACCATATTAATGAGTAAAATTGATTTTTTCCGAAAATTTATTTTAATGATTGGCTTAAAAAGGGGAGGGGAAATGCAAGGCAGAATTAGGCTTCGAAAAGGTAAATCTTTTTAAATTCATGTGTCATGATTTTTAAATAACCGAAGATTAATCTCGATTTAACTGATTCTAAAATCTAATGGAGGACGTTGTTTTCTAAAAATAAATTAACAAAACAAATAACTTTGTAGCCAAATTCAAAACGCGGCACCAAAATTTTTGACAGAATTACAAAATCAGAAAAAAAAAATTTGAAAGCTCGTGTTTATTTAAAAGAAACTGATTTTTTTTTTACAATTTTATCCATTTTAAATAAAATCATTCATAAATAAAATGTGAATATCGCAAAATGTAATTGTGATTTCCTGACATTTACGATATCTTTAGTTTTTCCCCCTTCCTCGTGATCTTATGAGAATTTTTCATATATATATTGCATGGATCGAATCAAACTTCATCAAAACATACTTACTATTCCTATTAAAATAAAATATATATAAAATTCGCCATGAAATTTTCCATAATCATTGCAATCGTCTTTGGCCTATTATCGATGACGCTCATGCTCATTGAAGGTAAACTTGAATGATCATGACAAAATAATTTAAATATTTAAATAACATCTGTTCTAATAACTTTATATATATTATTTTTGGATGGAATAAATAAGCTAATAGTACCGTGTGGATACATAACAAGGTGACGAGAGGTACATGGACACATGTTTCAGCCGCCGAAACTAAAGACGGCGATTCATTCGACGAAGATGGTGATTGGGCGCACCATGGTTATTCTGTGTCTATCCCTAATTCAGTAAATTCATATTGGCTCAAATTCAGTGTTACTTTAAGTGGTGAAGATAACAAATGGCGCGGCCCAATCCTTAATAATGGGGATAGATGTTTTCACCTCCATGGTACAATAGATACTTGGAAAGTATTTGATTGTTAAACCAATTTTTATCCGCTGAACGGCAAAATAATTATTCATCATCATTTTTTTTTAATCATTTCTTATATTATTTTCATTCATTTAATTAATTTTAAAATCGAAAAAAAATTTTTTTCAAAAATACTTAACCATTTTACCAAATCGAAAAAAATAAATGGGGACTCCTCCAGCAAAAGGGGGGGCTCAGCCAAAATTTTGTTTTTGAATTTTTTTTTAATTACATATTAATTGATCTAATCTTTCAGAAAAAAAAATTATTTTTTATTAAAAAAATATAATATTTTATAAATTATAATTCTTGTATTTTTCTTTTATTCTATTTAATAAATGATATAAATCAGCTAATGCTTTTAATGAAATCCTTGCAAAATTTTACCCTAGTTTGCAAAAAACTGATTTTAAAAATCTTTAAAAATAACAGAATAATTATTATAATTTACTAAATTAACCAATAATATTAAATTGTGATATTTTTGAAATCACGTGATTGCTCGACCCCCCTTTGCTGTGGGGGTCCCAAATTAAATAATTAAAAAACTAATCAGTCGAAATTTTCAAATATTTGAAACATTTATTTACTTTATATACTGTTCTTTTACATTGTTCTTCTTAGAGGTTGGAACCGGCCAAAATTCTTTAACCGGTTAATATTCGGTTAAAATATTTGTTAACCGGTTAATTAACCGGTTAAAATTAACTTTGGCCAGTACTAGAAATTTGGCCAGAGTTAGATAATATTTTGGCAATCTTAAAAATCTTAATTCAGGCCGGTTAATTAGTTTAAAAATCGAAATTTTTTTTTTAAAAATTAAATTAAACGGTTGCTTAAATTTAAATGTGTTTCATAATTATGATTATATTATGTATTTGAATCTTAGTATTTAAAAGATTAAAGATAGAATATAATAGCAATGATGCAATTTGCTTGATAAAAAAGAATAGATACTAAATTTACATATGTTAAAAAATGATGTAAATTGTGCTATTCTTCTCGTCAGAGTAGTTATTTAGAAAACTACTTTATATTGTAATATACGAAGTGACAGGTAAAATTTTAGATAGATTTAATTGGTAGAATAGGAAGTTAATTTTATTGCCATGTAGATCTTCTATGAAGATCGTTTTGT